TGGTTAAAAAGTAGGTACTTTTATATTAATTGTTCTTGATATCTATACAATCAAATTAAAATTGAAACAAGTTTAAATTTTCCATCGGTAATAACATCGGATGTGAATAGGGAATTCGCAAAACACACAACTTAAGTTGCAGAGGAAAGCTTAAATAGAACTCTGACGGTAAACAGTTATTCTGGTGGAAGCTTAGAATAGTTTTAATTTAGTCAACTCACACGTGTGCAATCACTTAGATAGAGTACCACTTTAATCCCTAAGTGTTGTGTGATAACACTCGTAAAATAATAGTACATTTCTATCAACACTATCTATTACTTTGGAATATGCAACAGGTATGGATGATAATGATGGTATGTTTGGTCAAAGTATAGATAAATTTTATAAAAAAATGGCAAGTTGTTGCTACTGACATATTATTTAAAAAAATAATTTTTCTTTAGTTTTTGTAATAATAATAGATAATTTTGCCATTGATAAGCAAAGAAAAAGCGAACGAAACGAGTGTGTTACGGCAGTTGCCGTCAAGCGCTCTAAACAAGTAAGTTTTTTAATTAATTTCTTATTATAAAATACTAATAACATATTAATTAAAAAGTTTCACACCTATACCTACTGTAACTTATTTGTTTCAGTTGAAATACGGAGTGTTGATCTAGTTTAAAATCTGGTGCATCTACTGGAAATCTTGAAAGGTAGTCGGCGTTACTGTTGCAAGCCGAGGTTCGGTATTCTATTTGATAATCGAATCCAGAAAGAAAATGTGCATAATGAAACAATCTCATTGTACTCATAGAGGGTAAGGTCTTTTGGGGGTGAAAAATTGATGTCAAAGGCTTATGATCTGTTATCAGGATAAATTTTCTACCATAGCAGTATTGATAGAACTTTTTAAGCCCCCAGTAAATGGCTGTCGCTTCTTTGTCAATTTGACTGTAATTTCTCTCGCTAGTACTCAATGACCTTGATGCAAATGCTATTGGTCTGTCTGAGCCATCAGGTAGTCTATGTGAAAGTACTGCTCCCAATCCTGTAGGACCGGCGTCAGTAGCAAGGACTAGTGGTTTATGCTGATCGAAGTGTAATAGAACTTTGTCATCCGTGATTTCCTTTTTAATTCGCTTGAAACTATTTTCACATTGTTCGGTCCATTTGAATGTTGTTTCTTTTCTCAATAAGTTGTTCAAAGGGTATGATAATGAAGCTAAGTTTGGAATAAATTTATTATAGTAATTCGCCATTCCAAGGAAGGTACGTAGTTCGTTGATATTCTTCGGTCTCTCTGTTTTGACAATAGCTTTTATTTTATCTTTATTTTTATGTAGTCCATGTTCATCAATTGTATGACCGAGGTAGTTAATTTTCTTCTCGAAGAAATGGCATTTATCTTTATTTAATTTTAAATTGTTTTCTTTTAACTTTTCAAAAACTAACTTCAAACGTAGTAGTAGTTGTTCATTTGTTGATCCTTGTATTATAATATCATCAAAGAAACATTTAACCCCTGGAATGCCTCGTAAAATTTTGTCCATAAATTTTTGCCAAAGATTTGGAGCCACTTTAACACCAAATAAAAGACGAGTCACCTTGAAAGTACCTTTGTGCGTACTTATAGTTTGCATCAATGCGCTTTCCTCATCCATTTCCATGTTCAGGTACGCCTGACAAATATCTAGTGTGCAAAATACTTTACCTCCGTTCATTTCCGCAAAAATGTCTTCAATCACAGGTATTGGATATTGTTCATCTTTTATTACTTTGTTAAGTGTAACTTTATAGTCGGCACATAATCTAATGCTGCCGTTTGGTTTTACAATAGGAACTACTGGTGTACCCCAATCGGTGTTGTCAATTTTTGTGATTACTCCATCTTTACATAATCTTTCGATCTCTTGTTCGACTTTGTCCTTAAGAGCGTATGGAATGCGTCTCGGTTTAATAAAAATCGGCGTTGTGTTTTCTTTCAATGAAAAATGACCTTTGTAGTTAGGAATACATCCTAGCTTTCCATCAAACAAACAAGTAAATTCTGTAAGAAGTTCTTCTAGTTTCGTATTAGTCTGTGTATCTAAATTATTTAGGTTTTTGAGATCAATATTCACGTTTTGAATCCAGGCTCTACCGAAAATTGGTTCAACATCTTGTTTTATTATGTATAGTTTCCCGTAAGCTATTTCTGAGTCATATCTATATTTTACATATGCTACTCCGAATGGACGAATAATTTCTCCTGTATAGGTCTTGAGTTTGATGTCCGTTTTAAATATTTTTTTGTTAGTATTCAGTTTTTGAAAATCTTTATATGATATTGATGACAAAGCTGCACCAGTATCTAACTCCATGTGAATCTTTTGGTTTTCAATTAATACTGTCAGCATGAACTTGTCAGAATTAACTGATCTAATGACATTTATGTCACATGTGCTATCGTTATCAGTTTCGTCATTGTTTTCGTGTAGAACATTAGACCTTTTAATTTGTTGTAAACATACACGTCCAATATGACCTTTCTTTTTGCATTTGGTACATGTCTCGTATATATATCTACAGGTATTTGCTCTATGATTGGAGTTGCCACAACGAAAACATTTACCTTTCAAATCTTGGAATGTGTAGATCTTATTGTATTTTTGTAGACTAGGAGTGTTTTCTCTATATTGATTCTTTACAACGTTATGTATGTTTGCCGAATGTGTGAAAGTAGAACAATCCTTCTTTGAACTTTCCATTATAGAGGCTTTATGAAGTAAATCAGTGTATTTGAGGACTTTGTTATCTTGTAGAATTCGTGTACGAATTTCATTATCTCTTAATCCTCGTATAAATTGTAAGTTTAGGAAATTTTCCGCTATAGATTTCTTACAGTGGCCGCAGAAGAAATCACAATCTTGAGCCAAATGTTTTAATTCAGAAGAAAATTGTAGAGTAGTCTCATCTATTCTTTGCGTTCTAGTGATAAATTTATGTTGTCTGGTCCATATGTTTGCTTGAGGTTCAATATATTCACTCAAGAGTTTGACGAGTGTTTCGATCCCTACTTCAGTAGGTTCTTCAGGAGCGCATAAATCGTAAGCCTTTTCATGCAAGTCTGGTGGCAAACTTGATAACAATGTATATAGTTTCTTAGTGGGTTCGATGCAGTTAATTAATTTTGTATACATTTCAAAACGTTTAATAAAATTCTTAAAAGTTTCTCGTTCTGTGTATGCTTGAAAGTTTATTTTAGGCATATTTTGCATGTTAGATGTTGATTCTTGTTGTATTTGTGATTGCGTTAGTGCATTTTGTAGTTTAAGTTTAATTTGTAAGATAATTTGTTCTGTAATAGTGCGTTCCTGAATTTCACTATTCAAAAGTTCATCACTTACGTTTTGTTCGATATCTGTTTGTGCATTATCAAATTTCCTTTCATAAGATTCTATATTTTTGAGTCTCGTTTCGTATTCCAATTGTGGAATGTTCTGTAAATTTTCCACTTGGTTTTCGAACCAATCAATTTGTGCACGTATGGCGGTTCGTGTTCTTTTTAATTTTTCGACTTTACTTGCCATCGTCGCCAATTTGTTAAATAATTACTAATTATTTATTCACATAATATAATATTTATTTAATTGATTGACATAATAATGATTAGTTGCTATGGGAACTCAACTTTCTTTTAATTGAAACTTCAGAAGAGTCATACTAAGTAGGTTAGTATATAACAATAGTAATTTGATTGTATCTCTTAATCAATCAATACAACATATTTCATGTTTATAAGAACATAGGTATAATATATATTAATAAAATTAATTAGTGAATAAGATTGAATCTTTTTGATTGATGATTGAAAGAAAATAAAAAATAAAATTGATCTCTGTTGCTTCTCTTAATTGACTACTCTGATACCTGTTATCTTGATCTAACGGAAGACCAACTTAAAAAACTTGAGCGACTTCAAAACTTCTGTATTAGATTTATTTTTGGATTACGTTATTGTGATCATATATCTCAATTACGCACTCAGCTCAAGTGGCTACCTATTAGAGTTCGCCAGAATGCTCACATGTTATCTCTTCAAAGTCAAAATAGTCAAAATAATCTTTATTCAAATAGACTTCTTAAAAGTACTTTTGAATCGTCCAACATTTTTTTCCCTACCGCTCGTTCAGGACGTCTTTTGGCTGATAAGAAGAACGAGCAAGAAACTCACCAGCTCTTCTTTCCAGCTTCTCTATAATATTCTGTTTAATCCCCGTTTCCCGCGCTATTTGAAAAAACGATTTAATCGTCTATACTGTTCCACTACACATTCTTTGAGATCATCGGAAAACCTGAAACTTGAAATTCCTCTCCATAAAAGTACCTTTTATGATGGCTCCTTTACCGTCCAAGCTCATTCGCCTTTGGAATGCTCTTCCGGCTTCCATAAGACGAGCATTGATTAATCACTATCTTCAAAGAACTGATAAAAAACCATTAGTACCTTTTATGATGGCTCCTTTACCGTCCAAGCTCATTCGCCTTTGGAATGCTCTTCCGGCTTCCATAAGACGAGCATTGATTAATCACTATCTTCAAAGAACTGATAAAAAACCATTATTTCTCTTTGTAATTCTAAGTTGCTAAAACCCTTCCTTTCTTCCGTTTTACTAAAGTATATTATTAGTATAGGTCTTATGTATGTATTTTTGTATATATTATATTTATGTTATATATTTTCTATATTTATGCAACTTTTAAGTATTAATGCATTTACTAAATGTAACTAATTTGTCTTGAATTTATGTATTTTCACTCTACACCTTCGTTTTTAATAACTGCTATTCATTCTTGTCCATCCAAAGGTTGTCTGGTAGAATTCGCTGTTAGCGATAAAACCGCCAATTGCTACACTATCGATTTATATTTAATTTGTAAATTTCATATTAAAAACTTTAACTGTCACTGTAAAAATGGTGTGACAATAAAGTATTATTATTATTGATAGGTTCATTTATCAATAAAGGACTTACCTATTGAAATGCTTCCTGAAGATGCCGCTGGTGCAATAGAGAGCTATAGGGTTGACGCAGCTGTTGAGGAAAGAGAGGCAGAATCCCACGATCCTTAGGGAGTGCCACCATCCATTGTAATCTTCCTCTGCTGTTGGGCTGCAAGAAGAGTATTCATTATTAGGAAAAAAAATGTCAATTGGTCCGCTTTTAAATTTCAAACCTTATAAATAGGTTTTCCTGTAATTTAAAGATGAAGATTTATTTTCGAATTCACGTTCCTGCAGGTCTTCGGATTTATTACTTGTAGGAACTATGCCTCGTTTTAACCAAAAAAATAACACTTTAGATGTTCATCTACGAAGACATTTTATTGAATTGAAAAACAATAACATGTGACATTGTCAATAAAATTTAAATATTATTATTTATTTATTATTAACTGAAATGAGGTTTGATTTATAACATCCTCCCCACCATGGCACTGGTTGACAACAACATGTGCCTTCTTACGCCATACACACATAGCACACTCATAATACAAAGTACAAAATAAAATTAAAAACTATACATACTAACAATATCCTAAACACAATACATACCTTATAAAATTTATTAATACTATGTTCAAAACTAAAATTTTAACTTATCTGGTATTCTGACGAGTCGGCCAGAACGCGTTCTAAGTTCACCTTGTACTTCTCGTTGAATACCTATTGCAGTATTGTGTTTGTTGCTCTCACTGCGATTATTCAAATAAGCAGATTCCACACTAGATAACTCTAGTGGGTACAGAGACTGTACAGCTCTTAAACGTTCTCCCGACGATGTCCTAAGACGAGCAACTCTATTGACACCGTCAGAACCTCCCATACATTCTAATACTAAACCCAGTGGCCACTGTATACGCTTCTTGTCACTAACCTCAAGTAGTACAATATCCCCGGGTTTTAAAGAATTATTTTTATTTTTATTACATTTAGTGACTAGTAAGCCTAAATATTCACTGCGAAAACGATGTTTCAAATCAGAACATAGTTTCTTAATGTAGCGCCACCGTGATGTCAAAATATGACCATCTATCAAATCGATATCAAAAGTATTGCTACTATTTGTCTTATAAAATAGTAAAAATGAAGCGGGTGTAAGAGGTTGAACATTTTCTGAATTATCCGCAATATACGTGAGCGGACGCGAATTTACAATCGCCTCTACCTCACAAATGACGGTTGATAACTCATTAAAAGATAATGCTGCTCTACCTAAAACACGCCTTAAAAGTTCTTTGACAGTTCTTACCATTCGCTCCCAAAATCCTCCCCACCATGGCGCTGCGGGTGGACTAAAGCGCCATAAAATCCTATCAGTTTTAGATTCTACTGTTTCCCAATTTATGTTATCAAAAACATTACTTGCACCTCTAAAGTTTGTTCCATTATCGCTGTATATAACCTTAACATTCCCTCGTCTAGCTAAAAATCTACGAAGAGACATCATAAATTCTTCGGTAGATAACGAAACACAGAGCTCTAAATGAACCGCGCGATACACAGCACAAGTGAATAAGGACAGCCAGCACTTCTCCCCAGATCTCAGATATAATGGCCCTGCAAAATCTATCCCCGTAACTTCAAACGGACCGCTACATTCAACGCGATCTGCAGGTAATGGTGGTATAGGAGCAACACAAGCTTTGGCACTGAACCGTTTGCAAATCATACAACTATTAACAACGCGATTAGCCATTTTCCTGATACCTAATATCCAATAAAGTTCGCGTAATTTAGATATTAAAGTTTGGGAACCTGCATGTGAGAACTTTCTGTGAAAGTGCACTGTTAAACGTTCTACTATTTGACACTTAGGAAGTAAAATAGGCATAATAAAATTTTCAGTATCATTACTCAACATTAGTCGCGTTTTGACACGAAGAACACCATAATTGTCCTTTACTAATTCCAGATTCGGTAACTTATTTGTGTTCATTAAATAATCTATTTGTAACATTATAAATAACCTTTTTTCAGCTTCCAAAATCTCATCATTACGTAAATTCCCTAAACGTTTATTTAGCTTTTTCGAATTAAATATAAACCTAAGACACCAACCTATCATCCTAACTATTTTTAAATAATCGCTAAAATATAAAAACTTATTAGAGAATCTATCTTTTTCCTCTACATTTATTAAAACTGAACTAAACTCTTTTTCTATCTCTGTAACATCTGTTGTTTCTACAGAATGAGGCCAATTTAAACTGTTTTCTTTTAACCAAGTAGGACCTAACCACCATTTACTTTCTAGTAAAACTTGTGGGTTACATCCTCTTGAAGGGAGATCAGCAGGGTTTAAATCCCCCGATATATGATGCCAATTAGCGATATTTGTTCTATCAAGAATCTCTTTTACTCTATTGTGTACGAACACATTAAAACCTACTTTTTTCCTTAACCATGCTAATACTATGCTCGAATCAGTCCAGTAATATTCCTTACAAGGTAACTCTAAGCTATCTCTAACCTCACTCGCCAATCTCGAAGCCATCAATGCCGCAAGTAATTCGATCCTAGGTATAGTTACTGCCTTTGTCGGGGCTACCCTTGCTTTAGCCATTATTAACTGAACAGATACTTCACTCTTAAACCCCGAGCGTAAGAATATACAACAAGCATAGGCTGATTTGCTACCGTCACAAAATATATGAAGGCTATTATCAGTTAAATTTATATCGTGTGTACTTAACCTTCGTGGAATACAACAACTATGAAATACGTTCATTTGACGTATCCACTCTTGCGTTAGTTTGGTCAATTCATTTGGTAAACTCTGATCCCAATCAATATTCATGATCCAGCATTTTTGAATGATTAATTTAGGTACTATAGTTGCTGGGCTAAGAAATCCTAACGGATCAAAAACACTTTGCGCTAGGGATAGTAGAACTCTTTTAGTAATATTATTAGACTTCTTGTTAGTAGAAAATTTGCAAGTCAACAGATCCTGAGTTGGATTCCAATTTAAACCTAAAACAGATACATTCAGTATATCTTTGTCAACTAACTCCGGCCCTGTAACCCAACACCTAAGCTCAAATAATCCTTCAAGCATAATTCTCTTCGCCTCATCTATAAAATTGTGCATCTCTTGCAAAGTCTGTACACTGACTACACAATTGTCAACGTAGAACGATTTCTTTAAAATAGTTGCAACATCATTATCATTATATTTATTAAGATGATATAAAATGGTAGCAGAAAGAAGATAAGGACTACATGTGACCCCAAAAACAACTCTTTTATGTCTGAATGTTTTTAATATCTTTGTTGTCGCTGTAACATCTCGCCACCACAAAAATTTAAGATATTCGCGATCTTTAGGATGTAATGAAATCTGTAGGAATGCCTTTTTAATATCCGCGGTAATACCTATTTTATGCTTTCGAAATTGAATTAAAAGCTTTGGAATTAATTCAATTAAGTTAACACCTTTACTTAGACATGAATTTAATGAAAACCCATTGCTATCTAAAGCTGAAGCATCAAACACGGGTCTGATTTTGGTAGTTAAGCTTTCCTCTTTTATAACAGCATGATGTGGCATATAATGCCCTATACTACAATTGTCATCTTCCACTTCTTCAATTATACCAGACTCTAACCACTCTTCAAAGACCTTATTGTACTCATCCAATATACCTAATTTAATTAATCTATTGGTGGTAGATTGAAGCCGTTTTAAAGATGAATAATAGTTCGTATCTAAATCTGTGTACAACTCTTTCCAAGGTAATCTCACTTCATACCTACCTTCACTATCAGTCTGTATAGTGTTTCTAAAAAATGTTTCGGCTTCTGATTCTAAAACCTTCAACCTCTTTACCTCTGCCTCATCTTTGATTCCCAATGTTTCTAAATCCCAAAAATTTTCGATATTATAGGACAACGAAGCATGTAAAGTGGTTATATTATCTAAGGAGCAATAAACACTGACCGCCGGTCCTTGAAGGGTCCAACCAAGTTTGGTTTCCATCGCAATAAGATTATCATCCACGCGTTCTGACCGCCCCGTCAATAAAGAACCTAAAAAATCATTGCCGATTAATAAACTAATATTAGATTGTTCATCTATACAGTCCGTAAGTACTATACCTTTATTTTTTAAGTCATTTATTATTTTATTGTCTCTCAAAGTCGGTATGTAACCACATATTTCTGGTTGCTCTATGGTCTTCAAAACACATACGTAAGATCCATCTAAATTACTAATATTTACATCATATAATTTACTTAGACGTTTCTTTGTTATACCGCCAAATACGTTATGTGTCAATGATAACTCTCCAACAGGTAATAAAGACATTTTCTCTGCAATATCTTTTTTAATGAAACTTCGTTGTGCTCCGGAATCTAAAATTGCTCTTATTTGCATATTCTTGTTACCATTAAAAATTTTAACTTTTATCGTTTGCAGCAATACAGTTTTGTTCGCCTCTACTTGGCTTAACACTGCTGGAGCACTCGAAGACGACGGTAAATCATTGCACATCAGTGCGTGATGTCTTTTGCCACAAATTACGCATTTTGGACTTTTTCGACATTGCTTTAACATATGCCCTTTTTTCAAACAAATAAAACAAATCTTATTCTTTTTCAAAAACTCCTTTCTTTCTTCTAAATTTAATTTCATAGCAATCTTGCACTCTGAACTTGTATGGTAGCCTTTGTCACACCAAACGCAATTATTTTCTATTTTGGTAGATCTGTCGGTGTCTTTTCTCTGTTCAATTTTTTTAGAAGATGATATTAAACAAGCTGCCGTAGAACAATGCCCTTCTTTTACATCTATATGAGCTAATTGTATTCTTTCCTCAGATTCGACTTCTAGTCTTATAAATTCTAATAATTTTGACAGAGACTTATCAACTGATTGACAACGTGATCTATGCCATGCTCGTAATGTGTCATTTGGTAATGCGGACTCTACCAATGGATACAAGAAGGTTGCATATTTATCTTTTACAAGGCCGAGACTCTCTAAAGCTAATATGTACGTCATTATTTTATCATATAGCTGCCTTGTAGAAATTTTCGAAACATTTTTCGATACCACTAATTGTAGCAATTCTCTAACATAGTAGTCGATAATCATATCGTCATTAC